TTAGTGCAACTGACCCACCTGATTAAAAAATAAATAAAAGCTAAATTTCAAAACTCCTCCATTAAACCGGTACCATAGCCACAGGCTTCAACAAGCTCCTACCCCCCCACCCCCCATCTTTGTCACTCAGACACTGTATAGGGACAATGACCTTCCCAACACACCCAGCCCACACCTGCCACTGGCTTCTCCTGGAACATACTGGCTTTTCCTGGAACATGCTGCTTCTCCTGGAACATGCTGCCTCCCAGGGTTCTTCCAGCTTTTGCTGTCTTTCAAGGGCTCTGACCTCTCCAAGGACCAAGAGAGCCCCAGTTGCCCCTCCCAGATGCTCTAAGCCCATCTCTCAGGGGTCAGTGTTTCCTTCTCAGCATTTATCTGTGTCCCTGTGGATGGACAGGAGCTGACTCCCTTGCATCACAATAGCTCTTAGCATAGTCACTGAAGAAGCCAAGTGACTGAAAGGGAGCCGCCTCCCTTACTGCTTCTTGCGAAGCTCACCTTCCAGCTCTAGACCACAGCACCCCGGCGATGCACACAGCACAACCTCCACCTCTCCCCATCAGTCACCACTGGGCATACAGGCGAGCCAAACTTATAAATGAAATCGGGCAGTCATCTCTCCCCTTATTCCAAAGGGGATTTTCCCAGATAGGAGGTAAGCCCCTCACTTCCCTTGCTTTCATGAAAATGCTTCCTGACATGCGGCCATGCGTTCTTTACACAATACATTGACCATGGCTAGCTTCTCCTCGATGTCTTGTGAGTGTCGTTAGCTTACCAATCAAGTTGTCATCCTGTAGTATGGAGAAGCCCGTGCTGCCGTGTGTGGGAACATGGGCCCCAGATCACTGTACTGTGGTTAATGTCCAGTATCGTCGTCTGCCTGCTCCCTGTTGTACGTATTGCTTTCTGCCATCCAGCCCCTACCAGTATTTCACATCAAATCTGCTCTGAACTAAAGAGCCTGTTAGAACTGTCTGTAAACCAAGAGTTAGCAAGTCCTGAGTAATGGACCTAAGAGGCTCTTTTGAGGGTGTAGGAATACAGAGCTGTCTAATCTGAGCTCAAGGGTGTGTGCTGTGCTTTCAGCCCCAGCTGCATCCCACAGAAGGGGTCCTGCCTCACCATCTTCTTCGAGAGCAGCAGAACGAGGCCACGTTATGAGTGGCTGGCCACCTAAAGATTTTCTGGTGACAATGGCTGAGAGCAGACGTTAGCAACCTATTGAGGTAGGTCCACCTTAGGCCACACGATGGTCACGGTGAAGCTGAAGCTATGGATGAGGCTTAGGGAGACCTTGAACTTAGAACTGGGGGATGATGGCTCAGTCAACAAAGTGCTGGCTGCACAGCATGAGGATCTAGTTCTGATCCTCAGCACCCACCTAAAAACTGGGCATGGTGACACATGTCCATAATCCTAGCACTAGAGAGGTGAAGATAGGAGGGTGCCTGGCCAGCCACTCTAGTCTAACCCATGAGCTCCAGGTCAATGGGAAAGACTCTTTCAAAAATAAGGTGGGAAGCCGGGCGTTGGTGGCGCATGCACGCCTTTAATCCCAGCACTCGGGATGCAGACGCAGGCGGATCTCTGTGAGTTCAAGGCCATCCTGGTCTCCAGAGCGAGTGCCGGGATAGGCTCCAAAGCTACACAGAGAACTAACTAACTAACTAACTAAATAAATAAATAAATAAATAAATAAATAAGGTGGGAATCAATTGAGGAAGACAATGTTGGCCTCTGACCTCTATATGCAACACTTACACAATGCACACAAACAAACCTATACACTCCCAAAATAAATACATCAATAAATGAAAACATTTCTAAAATCTTGGGGTCCCTCACTTCAGAAAGCAGGGTCCTTAAAGTAGCTTTGTGGGAGCCAAGGCTGCAGGTAATGCTGAGCCCCTTGGTGTCTAGGCTCCCCGACAGAGGTGCCCAACATAAAGCAAACACCAGGTGCCTTCAGCCTTCCCCACCTCCGGGAAACCAGCAAACGCGGCACAAGCAGGCAGTGCTGCACATCCACAGGAAAACAAAAACTGAATGTGTACCGAGCTTTCCTTTCCTGTCACGATTCCCTAAGAAATACAATGCGACTACAGGCATGGTACTATGTCAGATCAGATTTAAAACGTGTGGGAAGATGTGTGTAGGTTACACGCTACCTAACACTACTTGACAGGAAGACCTTGAGCACATGGTGTGTGCAACAGGATGGTTCCTGCAACCAGTCTCCAGGGATACCAAGACATGGGATGGCTGCAACTTTTTCTCATCCACCCACCTATACCTTCAGAGGACAGTCAGTCAGTCAGTCTCTCTCTCTCTCTCTCTCTCTCTCTCTCTCTCTCTCTCAAACAGAGCTTCACAACAGGATATAAAACACTTCCTTTACAGTCAGACTCTGAACCGCATTGGTAACGAGTGTGGTAGCACATGATATTTATAGAACATGAAAGATGGCCATCTAGAGATGGAATGTTGTTTAGTGACTATCTCCAGGTGAAATCACGGTGGTGGTGGTGGTGGGTGGGTGCCTTCAATATATTTTAGTTTCCAAGTGCCTTTTACTATCAGGTAGATTTTTTTTTTAAAAAAAAAAAAAAGCATTTAAAAAACTGTTGTCACTTAGACAGGTGTGGTGGCACACACTTGTGACCCTGGCATTTGTGTGGCAGAGGAATGGAGTTGGAGTTTGAGGCCAAACTATGTCTCAGAATAACAACTATGTTGTCATTCGGAAAAGAAATCACCCTTTCTGCCACATGACTCCTCTCTGCACCAGCCAGCACCCACCACCACGCCCACCCCCACCCTGCCACCTCAGCAGACACTTGCCTGGGCTGGGTGCAGATCACAGCAGTTGGCTTTGTTTTGGATGTCTTATGGGGGGGATTTTTGGCACCGCGTGCAGGCTGCTGTATGAAATCCCATCAGCCTCTCTCATCTCATTCCCATCTTGGTTCCTGGAGCCCCATAAAGCAACTGCCTGTGTTCACATATCTCTGTACTCCTCTGTCCCAAGGGTATCATGGGCCTCTGCCAAGCAGAGAGAAGCTGCCCTTGAACTAGAAGACAGCGACAGCCATGAGGGATGAAGAGTGGCCATGATTCTGGAAGGTAGGCAGGTGGAAATCAGCCTCTAGCAACTTTTACTATCTGAGTGGCTTTAACTAATGGGCCACCACAACTCCGGGAGCCTTGCTGCTGTTGTCAAAAAAAATGAGGATAAGAACTCTCGTTGGAGAATGGATGAGAGTTCACGCCAAGTGAGACAACAGCTTTCAGGGAAGCTCACCAGCAGTGGGCACTGTGGCTGCGGATAATCTAGAATCTAATAGCTGGCCAAGCTCTCCGGATGTGTTTTAAAGCACCCAGCAGAGCCTTTTAGAAGATCCCGAGGGCCAGAATAGACAGATGTGCCCACGTGGGTGCAGTCACAAAAACTGCCTTTCCCCCTGTCTGCATCACTCTCCAAAACCTATGCCCACAGCTCAAAGTCACTCCACAGATGGCCTTAATAAGTCTCTCCAGAGACCCAGAGTTCCTTCAACACTCAAACTTGGTTCAAAATTACATGGAATCTATATTCTCCACTGTGTCAGTTGGAAACTGTTCTCAGAGTACTTCTGCTTGTGTTTCTGCCTGGGTGTTTTGTTTTCTATCAGACGATGAGCAAAGATATCCCTTGTAGATACTGGGACATCCTCTATCCCAGTGATTCTCAGCCTCCCTAATGTTTCGACCCTTTAATCCAGTTCCTCATGTTGTGGTAAACTCCAACAATAAAATTATTTCGTTGCTACTTCATAACTGTCATTTTGCTGGTGTTGTGAATTATAATGTAAATATCTGATATGCAGGACATCTGATATGTGACCCCCCCAAAAGGGGTCATGACCCGCAGATTGAGAACCACTGCTCTAGGCTCTATGCACCAGGTGATCAAAAAGCCACTCCCCAAAAGCAAAAGCTCAGCCAACACACATAGAGTCTCCACAGTGTGTAGACTCAGACCCTGCAAAAACAGCCTTCCCAGGGAATGAGGGAGGTGGTCCACACCATGTATGGCCTACAGCTCTGAACAGTTAACCCTTGGAGTAGGACTACCATCAGTTTTAACACATCCTTCTCGAGACTAGTTTATTCAAGTTGGAGGGCCTCTATGTGAGTAGCCTCCTCAGGACAGGCAGTGAGGAAGGTATTTGTCTATGTGTACAAAAACAGTTCCAGGTTCCCTGCTACTCTGAATCCCCGTGGCTGCTTCCAGAATCTTCTGTCTCTGCCTTCAACAGCTGTTCCATGTTACTTCTTCAACATGGGTCCCTTAGCTTCAACCTGCCTTCCCAGGGGAAGCACACCCTTGACCTGGTGTGGAGACCATATTTCACAGTGGAGTGTAGATGTGAACACACATTTATAACTCAGGTCTGAATTTCAGGTCACATCCCTTTTGTCTAGTGACATTTATTGAATATTCCTCGTAAAACATTCTGCCAGAAAACTTAAGGTTCCCCTCTTTAACATGTCCATTTTTAAACTTACCTCTTTTGGTTTTAAGTGGAATATACTACAAAATTTTCCCTGTGTCATTATGACCAAGAGGCCACATCATAAATTTACTTACAGCTTTGGGTCCCTGGCAGTAAGGGAGTCGTTTGACCATTTGTACAAAAAGCAGCCTTAGATTCCCTGCAGCTGTTTCAAGACTTCCCTAACTGTCCCCCCCTTCAATGGTTGCCACATTTCTTGAACCTGTGTCCTCAGACAGACTCAACCTTCTATCCCATGGTGAATAGAACAGGAGTCAACACAGTCTATATTCAGAACCTGGGGTTCCCCAACCTTCACCAATCAGGGCTCAGTAACCCCGGCCTGCACAGCTGGATGACGGATTTCCTAAGGAATGTGGCATTTCCCTGAAGAATTCCCCCAGTCCTGGAGTGAACACAGCTTTTCAGATCAAGGCACGGGCAAGGAGGTCATGTTACCTGCTCCTGGAGCTTCTGGAACATCAGAGGGTGTGGTTCTTCCAGGAACTTTTCACTGAGCCGAGACTGACCCTCCACATTGACTTGAGATGAGGCCTTATTGGACAGGAAGGTCATGTAGATCTCCTTGGCCTTTTCCTGCATCTGGAGGAGATAGAGGAGCTGGACTGTTACCACCAGAACAGCTTTTCCTGGCATGAAGCCAGCTCCACCCTCCAGCCGGCCCTGGAAGAGCTGCAGCTGGGAGCTGTTGCTGCCTCCAGAGCCAAGCTCCCTGAGAGGGCCCACGGCAGCCCGGCCTACCCCATACCTACTACAGGGTCTACCCCTGAAGGGACCAGCTCCCCATTTCAGCAGCCATGACAGTAACACGTGCTCACTATGACCTTGTCTTAGTCACTCGAGGTTAGGTGCCTGCCTCGTGACAAGGAACCAATCAGAAGTTAGCTGGTGGCGCTATGCGTGACGACCCTGGGTGTACTTTACGGACAAGCACACAGCAATGACGCACAGAGCATAGCAACCACCCTGGGAGGGCCTATGGGCCATAACAACCAGTTGATCAATCAACACAGGGCAAGCCCTCCAAACCGGGAGGCACACCAATCCTGAGCCTATGCTTACCCCTAGCTCCTCCTATTAGTCAGTCCTACAAGATCTCTCGGCAGCGTGTTCAAACTGTCTTTTGCGAGCCATCCGCCATGGCGGGTGGGTGAAAGACCTGAGCTAACATGTGGTTAGCTCGTTAAAAAATCAATAAAGCCTCATGCAGTTTGCAGCAAGCTCTCGAATCCGCCTGGTGATTGGGGTGACCGAGGTCGTGGCCTGGGACCCCGGATACCTGAATTTTCCGGGGGGTCTAACACCCCATACCTATTAGTGCATCTGCAGCCAAGAATCCTGAAATAAGAGTGCTGCACTGAACATTCAAAAACAATAGAAGTGGCATCCCACCGCGCTTCAGGACCCTCCTGTGAAGCCTGTGAATTCAGAGCTCACTGAAATGTCACTGGGTCTTAAGGGGAGATGAAGTTCCAACCTGAGTGAACCTTGGAACTGTTAAGCTACAGGAAGGAAAGCAGACACAGGAGGCTGTTCATGGGGAAACACCTAGAATGTGCAGACCCCCAGAAACAGATTGTAGGAAGGAGAAATGGGAATGAAGGTGAGGTGGACAAGCACAAGGAACAGCTTAGCATCCTGGGACTTCACTCCATTGGGGATGTGCATACGCCCTTCTTCCAATAAGGGCAGCCTGGGGCTTTCAGCTACAGGCACTATGTGCACACGTACCGCTATCCTAACAATGAATGCGCCTGATGACCTAGGACCCCACCTGCATGGAGCTACACAAACAGCCCAGCCCTTCCCCCAACAACCATCAAACATTATTCATGATTCCATTCAGTCATACTCCAGTCGTAACTAGGTACGTTGGTAGGGGGCCATTCTGTCCTGAACTAGTTTTGGGTGGATGAACAATAGGGCAAACTGTGCCATCTAAGTGGATTTTTAGAGACAATCCTCTACTTGCCATCTTATGTCCATGTACAACTGAGCGTGCATAAGATGGGATCACATGCATTCTGGGGAGGGAAAGCACAGTAAAAGCTGTGTCTTAGACATGTCCATCAAAATAGAGAACCACACATGGCATAAACGTTAGTAACTAGGCCTCCTTCCTCTTCTTCTAGACCCCATTGAAGAAATCCCAGTCAATAACCTGGGGCCCTGAATACTCTCACTCATGTGACCTGCTGTTATTCTCTCTCTCTCTCTCTCTCTCTCTCTCTCTCTCTCTCTCTCTCTCTCTTCTTTCTTTCTCTCTCTCTCTCTCTCTCTCTTTTCCCTCTCTCTCAAGACAGAGTCTCACTCTGTAGCTCTGGCTGTCCTGGAACTCACTCTGTAGGCCAGGCTGGCCTCGAACTCACAAAGATCCCCCTGTTTCTGCTTCCTGGGTACTGGGATTAAAGGTGTGCGCCACCATACCCAGTCTCTGCTGTCACTCTTGACAGAGCATTTCTTTCTGAGCTGTACTCTGGCTTGGCTGTTGAGTAGTTTCCTTGCTACTTTAGTCTTTCTACATCTTTATTTCAATTCCTTGACCGAACACCTAGAAACACCTGGACCAGGCTCTGACCACCCTTAACAAAGGTGTGACGGTCATGAGGATTGTCTTTGGAGTGTTGAAAGGATTTGGCATCTAGTAAGTGGCAGTGTCTCTACAGCACCGTGAATACACTCATATGAAGTTTTTTGTTATATGTGTTTCACCAGGACAAATGAAATCTGGTGACACCGCAAACACATGCATATATTGCAGCCAGAGCCTGCTGTGCTGTGGGCACACTAGGCCTATTCCCTTCCCTTAACCTCTTGGTCTTTTCCCCTGTTAATGATGGTTTCCTGGTGAGGACCAGGGCCAGGACAGGGGATATCAGGACTGTCTAATTCCAAACTTCAATCCCACTCAGGTCCTATGAGGTTCACTGAGCTCTCCAGAGTGCATGGCTTGTCAGACTTCCAGAAGAGGTTGTTTCCCTTCAAGTAACCAAACATTAAGTGTAAGTAATGCAGAGAACACTCACTGTGTGCCCAGAAGTCCTAGTGCAGGCCTCCGGGAAAGCATGGAGGTATCCCAAAGACAGTGTCAGCAAAATATTCACTCATCTGTACTCTCATTGCACTAAGAACTGTGGCAGGGTTGGGGCATGCCCCATGGCAGGAGCCCCTGAGAACCCTGACAGGACTGTGACCTTCCCTAATGGAAGGAGCCAACTTTACAGTGTGCACTGACTTCAAAGTGCCTCGGACAGGGCAGCCAACTCATCACACTCCATCAGAACTTCCCTTGAGGCTTCTTTTCTTGAAAAGGAAGGAGATTTGTGTGCACCTGCCTCCCCACAGCAGAGATAACTACTGAGCGAACCTCGGGTCTCAGGCCACATCTGACCCCACGGAGCAAGGTAATGGAGAGATGCCTTCAGAGTGTAGCACACAGCTGTGGTTTGTGGAGAAGATGGAGGAGGTCAGGAGGCCCTAAGAAAACACTTTTCTCCCAGAAAGGCCCTCAGCCTCTAAGGATGCTGGCAGAGCTTGGCTGAGGGAAAAAACAGGCTCTGAAAACTTCTGGTCTTATGAAAATCCCTGGAAGTCTTCAATTAGTAGGTGCTTGACAACAGAAGAAAATGGGGCTTGTTTCACACCAGAGACCAGAAGGCAAAGACCCCATGAGGCCGAGACCTGAGTAGATCTCTGCTCGTACAGGAACAGTGCCTAGGTGCGGCCACCACTCAAAGCCCTGTGTCTTTTCTTTCTTGACTACAGGAGCAATTAATTCATGTCAAACGCAAAGGCACAGGAGCCTCTTAAGATAAATATAACTATTCCTAGGATGGGTCTGGGGACCATCATGAGGCCCAGGGCAGCAGTGTGGAACTCCACATCTCTCAAAGGCCCACGGGCTCCACATGACCACGAGTCTCTCCCACCACTGCCATTCTGTCAGAAGGGAACATTTTTGGAAACCCACTTCCTGTTTTAAAGTTACTTCATGAAAGTAGAATTTCAGTCAGCCAGATGAGCAGACTGCACGCAAAAGTCTGCAGGCCTCCCCTCCCCAAGACATCCACAGGCATGTGAACGCTCTGCCATGCCTGAGTGCACACACATGGCCCTCGTGGATTCAGGCTATCTTGAGTGGTTCTGAAAATGAGACATGCAAGTGAGCAGCCTAAGATGCCAATATGGGGGGGGGCAGGTGGCCCAGGAGAGAGGAAGCAGGTGCCAGGCTGCAGATGTCCAAACCCTGGCTGTCAGCCAGCCCTCTTCTATCAGCTCCCCTCCCCAGTGTCTGAGAACAGGATGAGCCCCTGTGCTGCCCCAGGGGGTGCACCAGAATGAGTGAGCAGCAGAGTGTATCTGGGCTAGGATAGGAAGTGTGACCGAAAAGGGAAACCCTGAGACTGCTGACCACAGGCCAGTCACGGGAAGGCCTTCTGTCCAGGCTGAGAACACTGAACAAAAAAGAAGAACTGGCCACTTGAGCTATTCTGGAAGCTTTTTCCAGTGCTGTGTTAACCCTGCTCTAACTGCTGTAAGAATAAGCACAGAAGTGTCTTGGTGGAGTCAGTTTTAGGGCTGTGAAGGCACTCACAGACACGTCGAGCCACAGCCCACACCATAGTCCTCCCTTCCCTGAGAAAGACAGGCAGATGTGTCCAGTGAGCTCCTTCCAGACACAAGCCGGGGCCTTGCCTTCAGCTACTACAATGCCTGGTTTGCAGCAACACTGGGTAGGAAGTCAGCCCTCAAACCCCGCTCCCAACCAGTGCAGGTTACAGAGAAGCAAATTCACTCACAGCCCCAGACACCCATCTACTCAGAACAGCAAAGTAATGGGTTGTGCAGCACTTTGGAGAGTGCAGTGCGGTCTCTTCTCCCCCACTTGGGGTACATGCTGATGTTCAGCCACCATAAAAGGTTTTACCTCACTTCCCGGTGGCAAAGAGCCTCCGCACTCCCAAATCCATCAGATGCATCTCAAGAGGAGAGTCCTCTGGTGGCTCCCCCACCCACTCTCTCCACCTTCTTAGCTGAATCCTGTGTCTCAGGCCATGACGCCTGGGGGCTCGTGGCTGTTTCTTGCTGCTAAGCCCCTCCAGGGGTCTCTGGGTGCCTCTCTGGCTCCAGTCCTACGTACCTCTCCCAGACTCTCAGATTCTGTCTTTCTCCTCTACTGGGCCCTGGGCCCGCCTAGCCTCTCCCTGAATTTGAGTCCTGCCCTGGAGGCTGTAACTGCATGATCCACCATGCAGCCTAACAGCCTCCCAAGTCACTGCTGCTTGAGTCAAATTGACCCCTGGCAACAGGGGTAAGGAGTCCCAGAGGCACCATGAGAAGCGAGGTCATCTCCTGGCCGGTGCTCTGCTGTTCTCTCCTCTAAGATGGTGGAACTTCAAGTTCTATGACACTTCTTCATGTGGCCCACACCCTGTCTGCCGCTGACTCTGGAATACTTGTCCCATGAGCCCACCCCTCCCCTCCTCCACCACAGGTGGACCCAGGAGAGACAGCATAAAAACAGGGCACCATTGTGTATGAAATTCATTTGTAGTTGTTTCATAGAGAATGGAGCAGAGACA